GAGCATATGTGTTTTCACCCTCTAATCATCAGACGGGCGGGATTCGTGACGCGCGAGGGGGTGGCCGTCCTCTAACCCGGGCTCGTGCCTGCTACAGCTCGGCCGCGCGAGGAGCGTGCCAGGAGGACGTTCGGCCCGTGTCTTGTTAGTATTATCGAGAAAGCAGGCTCGAAATCACAATCAGCAACTTTTTATACCTTGTTCTTAATTATTATTATGTTTTTCATAATTTCATTACTTTCTTTTAACTATTGTTAATTGTTTAGTATTATTTCAATGGTCTCCGCAGGTGGAAGTGTTTTCCTTTTTGTCAAGACTACGTGGGTGTGAAATTAAAATTTTATCTCTTTCTTTCCTTCAATAAATATGTCACAATTTTAAAAAGATGCAGCTGCATTTAATAAAATGTTCGTGTATTACATGACCGATATTCTAATAAGAATACGAGAAACTTTAAACAAGGTCAAAGGTTAACGATTTCCTGCCTCATAGCTAGACTTGAACGACAATGCTACGGTAGCATAAATATTTTTATGAAGTAATTCTAATGACAGTTCTTGAGTAGAACTAGGGATGTTTGGTTGTACTTTTAACACGGGCAAATTAATATATTTGTAACTTGAACTGCTACGTTAAAAGGGTGTGATGAAAATTAACAAGAACACACGTGATATTCTTTGGTAACTCTCATTTGACTTACAATTAAAACCTTGACCTGTAAATATAAATCAAAACTTATTAGATAATAATCGATTGGTATGTATATTAATTGGGGAAATACTAATTTTACTTCTGGTTAAGTTAAAAGTTTAACCAAGATTCAAAGAAAAATAAGAAAGCGAGATATAGGCATCGCTAGGTGCTTAAAAGATTCGGGGATCGAAACCACAGGCACGGGAATTTTCGGCGTTTCAGTACGATATCGATCATGGTTTTCTATTCTGATTTTTTTAAGACACCAAATGGGGATTCGGGGCATGGACCCCGGGAACCAGCGCCTAGCAACGCCTCTGAAGTGCGAACTTGCAGTACAAAACTGACATAGTCCGGCTTCTTCTCTCGTCTTCAAATTGTATACCTTTTCCTTTCCTATTTCTCAAAGTCTCTGAATAACACTGGTGCTTACAAGGCATTCTTCTGAGCCAACGATAGTGATAATACGCCCTCTATTATATTATAAATGCACGAAAACTTAAAAATACAGTAGCGAACCAAAATTAAATTCGTGATCATGTGTAGCTAAAACACAAAACAAAACCCTGTGGGAGCTTATATTTCAAGCATTCGTCTTTTCTTTCACAATTTAAAACAGAACTATCAAGCATTTTAAAGTACAATGTCCAGAACTTGCGTTAACAAATTTATTAACATTTATAAATGTTTCTGAAACAAAAGTAACACATGTAGTTTCAAGGGTATTTAGACAGAGTAAAATTATGACTGAAATGGACTATTCCTGCCTGTTTCTAGAGTTTGTTTTGAAGTTAAGCACAAAGCTTCACAATGGGCTATCTGTGCTCTGCCCACCATAGGTATCGAAACCCGGTTTCTAGCGTTGTAAGTCCGCAGACATACCGCTGTTGACTGGGGGGGGGGGCGTTTCTAGAGTAGGGGCGAGGTTTCGGCATTTGTACTGAGGCCTTCTTCGACCTGAATAAGGCCTCAGTATAAAGCCGAAACGTTTTCCAATCACAGAAACAGACAGGGACAGTCCATTAACACGTTCGCTGCCGCATAATATATTAAGTATAAAAAAATTAAATATTCAAGAGGTACCAAGGAGCAGTCACAGTGTTTCAATTTTATGTACCACATGAGAAATTTGGCTTTGAAACATAATTATCTGTGACCCACCGGTGGGGACACATGGCAGCGAACACGTTAAGGCCAACACTCTACCAAAAGTAAAACATTTGTGTTCACATGATTTCAGAACACTCGTAGGTTTCGGGCTACAATTGCTGTCGTACTATTGTTATCGTTTCTCGACAATAAAGGTGTAAGCATGTTCACTTACTCGGTAAGTGTTGCAAGACAAGTGCACACACTCTTAAATGTTGGTAATACGAAAGTACATTTAGATTCACTTTCATAACTTTATGATAATTTAATGAGATCAGCATTCACATCTCTGCTCTTAAAACTATATGTAAGGTGCAGGAAATATCAGTCTAGACTACATTATTTTGCGATAATGTTGTTTTAATAGAACAATGATTATAAGATTTAACATAATTAAATATTCCTGGAAGTACATGTGTTTAGTTAATTGTTCTATACGCTAAAATAACACAGTTTTGAGTTAAACATTTCAAATTGTTTTTGGTAAATAATGAATATCACGAGTCATCACCTAAAGCAATCATTTCCCAATACAGGCCTTTCTGATTTTACATGCAAGGGAGAAAAAAACAAAAAGAAAATTATACAACATTTAGAAAAACGCGTATTCGCTGCTCCCTTGACAATAAATACCTTTAAGGTCCTAATGATCGAGGATATGACCTCTGATACTGAATTCTCATCTTTAAGTCTCCCTGTCAGTGGTCTTCTCCCCGGGGTGTCGGGATATGGGTGTGGGGTGCACGAGCTTCATCATCCCACCCACAAAGATTAAAAGATAAAGAATCACCCCAGCTCTCCCCGCCCACCAAGTCCAGGATAAACATCATGAATTCTTTTGCTCATCTCCGAAAGTTACCGATTCTCTGAAACATATTTCGATCGTATGTGTCTTTAAAAACTTATTGCTGTTGTGGGTATACAAGGTTTTAATGTTCTTGTTATTAACATCCACGTTTATAATAAAGTTTCTTAGTTTCGTTTTGAGCTTACTCACTAATTGCGTATATATTGTTACAAGTTACAGCCTTTACAGAACAGATACGCCGTATCTCAAGTACACTAACAAAATGTATTCGCTGTTGCTAAGAAGTTTTAGGCCTTTTCTTTTTGCCGATGACAAATTTTGCTTTATAGGCTTCTTTTTGTTTAGTATTTTTCAAGTGTTTTCACTAAATTCATCTAGGAAGTTTTCTAATGGACCTGCTTTTCGTTTGGTATGGAAATTACTCATTAAGCTGTTCTTGTTTTTGGAATGTTGAATATTTCTGGTGATTCTTCATTGTCCTTCGATAAATTAGACGGGGGATTTTTCCTGTGGTCTTGGACTTGGATTGGTTGCTGTTCATTGGATTTGATTCTATTATTACTTTCCTGCAAGGATCTTGAAGGCTAGTTTTTAAATCTAACATTGGGCTGGTGGGAGGAGTTACTGCGTAGTTAAGACATTTATTTACGGCTATGGTTTGATATTCACAGTTCGCGAGGTTGATTATATTGTTCTTGACAGTGTCTGGTTCTGTTTTATAGGCCTAACCTGATTCCTCAATACCAATAAGTAGCGCTAATACTACGAAGAGACATTTAAAATTTGTAAGGAACTGAGAAATTGTATATATTTTTATTCCCTTTTAATAAATGATGTAGTTTAATTTCCGTGTCATTAGCTAAGCCTAATGTTACCATTAAACAACATAAGCCTCATCGAAAGAATCCGTTATATTATGGAGAGACGGGAGAGAAGTTTATTTTATTACAAAACAACAACTGAAATTGAAGAATGTGATTACAAGTTAAACATTTCTAAAAAACTTGCGAAAAATAAAACTGAACCCCTCTGCTTAACATAAAAATCTTAAATAAAAGTTTTACAACAGACTATAAAGGAAAAACGTAGAGAACTGAACTTTTCCACATAAATGAACGTAATCTCCATAGTAACCTTGCATGTATAACTACCCCTGAAGATTGCAACTTACTTTCATCATTAATACAGAAAAGCACCTACTTTAAAGGCTTAACTATCAAACGAAATTTGGACAGAAAGCTACAAAAACTTTTCTTGTCAACAAAAAACATAGAACCAGACACTGTAAAGAGCAATATAATCATCCTCGCGAGCTTTCAACTCAGTAAATTTCAAACCACAGCCCTAAATAAAGGTCTAAACTATGCAGTAATTCCTCCCACAAGCCCAGTCTTAGATTTAAAAACTAGCCTTCAAGATCCGTGCAGGAAAGTAATAATAGAATCAAATCGCAAATCCAATGAACAGCAACTAATCCAAGTCCAAGACCACAAGAAGAATCCCCCGTATAATTCATCAAAAGACAACGAAGAATCGCCAGAAATATTCAACATTCCAAAAAACAAGAATTCAATGGGCAATTTCCATACCAAACGACAATTAGGTACATTAAAAAACTTCCTAGATGAATTTAGTAAAAAAAAAAAACTTTAAAAATACTAAACAAAAGAAGCCTATAAAACAAAATTGGACACCAGCAGAAAAAAAAAGTCCTAAAACTTCTATAGAACAATTAAGACATTTTTAGTGTACTTGAGAATGCTCCCACAAGCGATTGAAATGTTGTACCTGTTCTAAAAAAAGCTGCAACATGTAATGAAAAAACAGCTTATTAGTGTTGAAACATTTTTCACAATAAATGAATATTATGTGTATTACGATTAAAATTATAAATTTTAAACGTTTCATTTTAAATAATTTATTACAAAACTTCTTAATGATTCATCCAGTCCAATTAGTAAATAATGTATTTTTAATTAGAGCTTCTATGAAACCAATTATGTGGTGATCACTCATGATGTATTTTAAAGTTTTAAAATAGTTTCAACTAAGGCTGTTAAACGTATCTGGTAACATATTAAGTTGGTTGGTTTAAATAGGGAACTCCACCTGAAACGTCACATTTATATCTGGTGTATTTTTTGTACTACCACACAACTAATATGAATCAGTATGTTTTTCCCCCTAACAGCTTCATACAATTGCATTAGAACAATACGATGAAATACTTATGAAAACTTTGTATTTTTGAAAGGTATCTTGTACAATGAATTCAACAGGGTTTCATGATCTATATATAAGCCATATACTAAGAAATATACGTGAAAGAAAAAACACACGTAAGGCACTCTTGAGGTTCCTCAGGATATTTATTGGATAGAAACCAAGATATTACAAAAACCAGAACACTTACAGTTTAATAAAGTGCTCTTCAACTACATTTTCAGGTTGGTCACAAAACCACACTAACTACAGAGCTGCTGAGACATCAAAATCTACCCTCTTAGGCATCAAAAGCTTTAACCAGACAAAACAATTTTTACTAGCATGTTTACGAAGCTTTGCTTAAGCAAAGGTGTTTTCCTAAAATATTTTTTTTCTCTCTTAAATAACAAAACACACGAGTAAACACCTAACATGTAGCTTTTAGAATATTAGCTTAGAGAAAACTTTAACTACACTGCACTTTTCATAGGTACATAGCTTTTTATAAATGCACTTTTCATTATAAAATAACATCAAGGAACCAAAATACACAATGTGAGCACATACATGCACATGCACACACACACACAGAGAATTAATGAATAAAACCACTGACTCCTAGTTTATTTTTATTTTTAATCTAAAAGTAATAAATAAAGATATAAGTTGGAGGTTCATCCTATTCCCAGGCACCGTTTTATCAAAATCAAGTAAACACGTAAAATAGAAATGGTGATATACCTAACAAATTTGTTTAACTAAATACTTCATAGCGTTTGTTCTTCAAATCACTATGCTGAAAAATGCACCTACAGCTTGAGCAGTGGCATCTAAACACACAGCATTTCTGAAAATTTACTTCAGAAGTGGTCTGTATTGTTTTCTATGTCACTATGAATGATTCTTATCTTGGTCTTTCAGGTTAATAAGTCAGGTGGAGACAATCACATAAAAGAATACAAAGCAGAATAGTATATATCTGCAAAAATCAGTAATATTACTGCTTAGGGGAATTAATACAATATCTTTTTTTTTTTTCATATAATAACACAAATTTCAGTGCCAAACCTAGCTAAAACAGGTCACCTCTAAGTTGTTCCATTAACTATCTGCTTGTCTTTAGGCATTGTTGGCTCTGTTAATATCTCCGACTTGCAATTAGACTGAATAGGCTCTTTTTGTTGTTTTGGAGGAACATTTCCACTGGCTAATTCTAGAGAGGTCTCACTGTTATTTTCACCATTTATATTGCTGTTTTGTTCTCTCTTAATCCTTCGAGGGGGAATAAACTTATCACTCCCTCCTCTACCTCTTCCAACTTCACGGGGTTCTGAATATCTACGATTTACTTGGCGGGGCTGCTCACTAGAAAATGGACCATCTTCATGTTTGTTCCATCTTCTCTGTCGCCGCCTTTGACTCTGAAACCCTTCAACAGATGATACACTCTCTAAATGAAAAAACAAAAAGGTTACAAAGAAAACTTTCTAGGCTGAGCTATACAATGAATAATAGTGTAAGAAAAAATTCCAATTCAAAGAAATCAGTTTTTGTTTAATAAAACAAAAATAATAGATATTGCATATAAAAATAGATCTTAGAATAACATGTTTAAATATAAAATAGCAAAAAATGAATTGCAGCAAATCAAGTTATTGCCATAACAAAATTGTCAACTTAATATTATGCAGTTTTCAAAAGTTACTCATAACACAGCATTAACTATTTAATATATTCTATGTACCTTAACAAAAATAGTGAAGAATTAAAAGACATCAACACTTTTTTTTTTTTGTACAGGAATATTAGCTATTAATACCATAAAACAAATTTTTATTTAGATAATTAAGTCAAAAATACAGTAAAATCAACTTTTGCAGTAAGTAATGACTCCAACATTTCAACTCGTAGTACTGGAAGACAAACAACAATGGAGTAGGACTTAGTAGACTTCTGTTTTTGAGAGGATTATGCTGAATCCTATGTGTAGACAGATGAGTCTACACATCCCAAAAGATCCCTTCGAGATTCAAAATGCTGCTGGTTGATGACTCAACACTATGGGTTGAAATGTTGTAATCATTAAAGTTAGAACCTGCCTACTGTGAAAGTTGCTGTTAACATATTTCTGATTTTAGTGTTCTGTTCAGTAGATCCTTCACTAAACACCTACTTAGATATTATAAAACAAAAGTGTTTATCACTAACTTTATTAATACCATGAAAATAACCTGGAGTTTGACACTAAAACAAAAAGCCAGTATTGATTTACTGATACTATAAAATTAAACTGGATTTTGACAATTAAACAAAAGGCCCACACTGATTATATCAACATATAAACAACTGTGAATAAAATAGGATTTTTTCGACAAATGATCTATTGCCACATCCTTATTTCTTCAATGCGTATTGAATGCTTTGTAGACCCAAAAGTGGAATTTTATTCAGCCTAATGTAATTTTGACCTACTTTGCACAGATTTTTTATTATTATAAGTTCCATTTCTACATAATTACAGACCGTTGCATGTTGTTTATCATTATGAGGTGTGAGAAATATTATAAGACAACACTGTTAAAAGATGACTATGTCATAAAAAATTATTATTTATGCTAGTGTCAGGATCCATTTTTGTCATATCCCAATGTTTAAACCTGTTATTTGTTTATGTAAAAGTAAAACAATACAATAACAATGAAAAAATCAACATTAATCTTATATATCTCCCACTGAACTCACCACTTACTCAGTAAAGCTAATCACATGGTTACAATTTATAAATTACATTATCCAATAAAATTTGGATACTTCTGTGGTATGGAACCAATAATATTTTGCCATTCTGCTTACTGAGAGGCTTATACCGCTTACATTGAAGTAATCTTATCAACACATCATTTAGCCTTGTTGAAGAAATACAGGTGTATCATATCCAATGTACAGTGTGGACCTAAAGGACCATATGATTATCTAAGAAGACAGAAGAAAATATCTGTAAATGATGATGTCATTTGAACCAAATGTTGTGAATATCAGGTAACTATGTGATAGGTTTAAGACTGAAATTATCACAATTACATCCTCTGATGGGTACATTATGTGAATTCTTGATTCATACCTTGCTGACAGGTGAAGTAATGATGTAAAAATTATTCATCAGATATTTCAAAGTCAGGTTGAAAACATTTGCACATGATGCAGCTGTTTTGGGATGAAGAATAAAAGATGCATTGGATCTCCTTCACAATATTGCTGAGAAAACATAGATGCCCCTGTTTCTGCCAAATTTAGGTGCAACTAACATCATACAAAGGAATCCAATCTTTCAAAGTTATCAAAAACATACTTTGGGTTGTTGATGTAAAAAAAAAAAAAGTGGGAGCACGAAACTGTGGAAGCTACTGGACAGTTTTGTTTCTTTATTAAGCACAAAGTTACACAATAGGCTGTCTATGCAGTGCCCACATCAGGTATGAAAACCAACTTTTTTAGCATTATAATCCCTCAGACTTACTGCTGAGCCACTGGGGTAAGGTGTGGAGGGGAGTGAGCACTGGACATAGTACTTTTTTTTTGACTTGCATACTTCTTTCATAGAGAATTATATGGGAGTTATCAGTGCTTTTTACAACTGCTATTGGTCTGTTCTCATATAATACACACTGGATGCTCAAACAGACGTAACAGCCAAACATACTCCAACAGAATGTATAGTCCAAAGGTTTGACATGAGAAAGGTCAATGTGGAAAAAAATAAAACTGAAATAGGAGATTCAGCTTTGGATTTTCTAGTTGTTTGAAGAATATCTGTGGTCACTGACACTGGGTGTATACCAGATGAAGCAGGTGATATCATCCACACAAGAACATCCGAGGAGAGGATCGACTGTATGACACGTAGGTCAGTGGTGAAAGGAAAGGTCTTCTCTTTGTAGATATTCAGTCTTGTCACACTTCAATAGCGTATACTCTCTCTGGATTCAGAATGACAGCAGAGTGGTGCACCTACACTAGTCTGGTATTGCATGTGCTACACAATGGTGATTGGATACTGCACACACATAATGTAAGTAATGTAGTTTTTTGGGCTCAAAAGGTCAAGGAACACAGGATTACCATCCATAACTGAATGTATTCAGGATTCTGCAGCAATTATCAATGACAATTATGATAAAATGAACAGTGAATGAATGAGGAATGTGAATATTTGGTTTATACAGTATATGAAATGTGGCATTTTTGGGGTTCTTGAAATTTGTGGGATAAAACTCATTAACCAATTGCATTCAATTATTCATATATGAGACTTGGATAGTTAGAATAATCAAAAATAGCAGTAATTTGGAACAACAATTTCAATTAGTTGGTTATTTTTGTGAGTTATGATACTAATTGATTAAACTGAACAACCCTGAATTATTCAAAAATAATAATAAGAAATCACAGTGGCAAGATTTTGATTACTCAAATAGCTGAAATAATTGAAAATGGTAACAGTTGAAAACACTAATACATACATTAATCATGCTATAACAGTATGGTAAGGATAACTTGACAGTCATCATTATACTAACCCTTTGCACAAGATATTTTTTATCGTTAGATGTATCCATTAGTAACCAATTTAGTTACACAAACTTATTAATTTTAAGGTTACTGATGTACATACTTATATGAAGTCTAGTAAAGGATTTGCAATTTACTCCTTTGTTTTCTGCTTCAGATACATCAGTTTTATTAATTAATTTACACATATTTTTACCAGGAGTAATTGTATGTTATCTGTTGTCAGAAAAATTTAGAGGTCAGAGGTGACCAAGAGTTTACAACATAAAATTTGCGCATCCAAAAAAATAATACTTTTACATGATAACACAGCAGTATAAAGCAGAAAGATCCTACAATGTCCATTCAGGTACATGACTAATATATACATGTTCAGAAAGTTATCTTGGAACCAATCAGTGCAAGCATGGGTACTTGTCAATTCTAATTTGTTTCTATGCTTATTTTAAAGTAATAAGTTAGTTTACAACAATATCTTGTATCTAATTACAACAAACACTAACCATAATTCTAAGTCATCTTATGACAAATACAATTGTTTATAAGCAGTTATATTTATCATAAGACAATAGTACTAAGCATATTATATTTTCTAACACTGCATTTTTTATTTGGTCTCTTACAGTTTTTCCAAGAATAAAGGTGTATAAATATTTGAACACATTAGGCCTATTATATCCATTACAAATGACATGTTTCACTCAATACTAGAGCTTGTCAGGCCAGTTGGGATACAGCAATCACATAAGTGATTTCTTTCTTGCATATTAGTTCTTAAAATACTTCAAGCACCAAATTTAACATTTAGTTGAAAACCATTGTAAACTTGTTGTGACATTTATTGTAATTTAGATTAGGTTTACTACATGACTTCTTGTATCATTGAGGTATAAGAGCTCCAGGGTATTATTTATATGTAGATTTTGTATATAATAGCTTTATTCAAATTATTAAGTGTGGTAGTTTTTGTATATTTGCTTGAATTTTAATTTATTTCTTACATCTTTGTCTTTTCTCTAAAAAACTTTACATTTTTTTGCTTCTAAGCCTAGTTCCTAAATAGTAGGAATGTTAAAAATTATAAAAATTACAAAAACAACACAATAATATCTTTCCTACTTGAATTTACATAACAAACAGCTAACATCAATGTTATAAAAAACATCATAGAAAACAAGATTTACATCATAAACCTATAACCTTGATAAATAAGTTTAGTTCAAAGGTTCTCAAAATTACATAGAGTTATGAACTAAAAAATGTGATCCCTGTTACTTATAAGAAGACTGGTTCCAGTAACACACCTACAGGTATAAACACTTGTAGACTTAGAACAGAAAGAAAGAAAAAAAAGTGTAACTTGAAGAGTGACATAAATAACACAAAATAATTTATACTTTTTGTTCTACTTCATTTTATATACACAAATAATTTTACAAATTTCTTTACAGCAAATCAGTGTCCAATATTATAAATGTTTGCATTAGTTTAATAATTAATTAAACTTAGAAATTCAACATTAAGTGTTTACCATTTGCATCCACAATAAATTTAAGTATATACATGATAAAACAACAATATGATATTTACATTACAAGTAAATCCACACTGACATCAACATTTCATGGATGTCAAGTTAAAATTACATGTTACAAAAAAATGTTAGTGTCTGAATATTCTAGGTTGAAGTTTTTCCCTTCAAAATAACAAAAAACAAAAACAACACAACATCAAACATCTTGCAATGGAGCAACCTTTGTTGATTTGTTAACGTGTCTTTTTCCCAAAAATTTTCAGTAAATATGGAAGGTATTATCTTCTTCAGCCTGATCATTTTCTAATTCACCACTCTGGTCTTTATTTTTCTGTTGTTTTTATTTGATTTGTTCTTCTTTCATCACTCTTACTTCCTGCTCTCTTTTTTGTCAAAAGCATTATACATTGTGGAGTATATGCTAACTTCACGACTATTAAGAACTCTTGTTTTTGATTGCATTCTTATGGTCTTTTTAATTCAATCAAGCATAGTTTTTGATGGTGGATATAAAATGTTTATGATTTCTCAATGCACAAGAGGATTTTGTTTTGGCTGTTTGAAAAAAGATAATTGGTGGAGCAGTACAAGTTTCAATAAAACTTAATACTGTTGTTTCTATACTAGCATGGATTTACTGGTGAATGAGACAAGTCTGTATCTATGACTGGTATTGTGCTAACTCTCAGAAAGATAGGTTCAAGGGATAGAGTTCATTACCATTCATTGCTTTTTTGTTGCAGTTGATATTAAATTCCCTCATATATCATTTTTCTCTAAAATCTTTTCTGGAAGGAATTATTTTCAGGGTGGGTTAGACGTTTTCACATATAGAACATCCGACTCCAGATTTAGTGATTGTGCAATTCTGTAGAGCCATTTCTGGAAGAATATAGCTCTCACTGAGGTCCAGAATTAATGAAAAAACAGTACATATGTCATTTTTATTTGTTTTTGTTCCTCTTATTATACATTTGCATTAAGCTCTTGAAGTGCACAGTATATGAACCATTAACAAGTCATATAAGCAGGATAATTAAACTTGACTAAGCTGCTAGGTCAATTTATAGATGTCAAGAAAAGAATACATTTTCCATATTATAAGAACCCCTTTAAGCAAGGGTTCCATAAGTGTAGCATGTAGCAATGCATACTACATTCAAATTGAGAAGTTCTACTGAAATCATTAATACATCTGTCACACTTTTAGATCTTCTTCAGTCTTACTATGAAATTGATACTTTTCAAGTATGGTTTTCATAAGCTGAAAATATATCTGCAAGGTATCCACACATGATGAACTGACTTTTGAATGATCTAGATAATCAGAACATCTCAATCTCAGTGTTGTTTCTGATATAGGAAGAATGAAACTATTGCCATCAATGGTAACCAGATGCAGGTTCTCAAAATTTATTTCTCCCAGTGCTTTAGTCAATGCAGAAAAGCTTGGTTGGACTCTCAGTGGCATTAATATCCACTTTTTTTTGGTGGATACAATCACCCATTTTATCATGAAACTACATTGCCAAAAGCAGCTATTTCAAAGACAATTATGAATTTATATCTCAAAAAGCATTCTCTATGTCACTTGCAACCATGTTAAATATTTCATATTCATTCTATATGTTCTTTTACTCTTAGTATTTTAAGCAAGGTAGTATCAAATACTTTAGTTTTGCATTACCAAAAATATCTAAGTTATAAATTTAGGGATTATTCTTGTTTAATAATTGTTTAAATGTTTAATTATTACTACATATTTCACTGTTACATTTAAAATGTCCATTGTTTTGAATGATATAATTCACATGCACAGTGTAATTTTAATAACATACATTACGCAATTTGTTACTAACTATACAAAAAATATTGTGTACCATTTTTGTTTAACATGATGTGAAATAAAATATTCATAATTTCTTATGTTGTTCTTTCAACAATTTTAGTTTATATTAGAGAATAATTTGCATGTAACTTTATTATTTCATACAGAATTTTTTTTCATGTTTCAAACACGAATCAATTAGAAAAATAAAACTTCATGAACTTGCTAGTCTTCCTAAAGTTGATGCTCAGTAGTGTTCTTATTACTCTAAAGTTGCCACTTAGTTTTTGGTTGGTATTTATATTTTCCACCCATCTTGGTCAAAATACAAAACAGATCTGTTGTTTATCTGTGTAGGGCTTAATTCTACAAGTATATAGGAGTAATAAACATATCATACTGGTACAGAAACAAAATACCTAAACTTTATACCTGGTGCAAGAACCAATACTACATGTACTTGGCAAGAGTAAACCTATTTATACATGTATAAAAACTAAATATACAAGTTTTATGTATTTGGTACAGACTCACCTCTATCCATACTTGCAACACTGGATGCTTCATGACTGTCCATAACCGATTCATCTTCATCTGTCACACGACGACGTCCTCTTTGGCGAGGTGGAAGACGCAGTACCCTGCCATCATCTGACATCTCTCTATATGATCCTAAAGATTTTAAAACAAAGTACACAATATTACCTAACACAGTGAGTAAATGTTTAAAGTTGAAATATTAAATTTTGAATACATTAGTAAAACTTGCAAATTTTTCCATTTACAGCAGGTTTGTTCAGAAATCAGTTATTCAAATTTTAAACTATAAAACTTAATAGTCTTATGTTTAAAGCTAGTTTTTGTTTTATAATTTTTTCAACTACACAATTTTGAGCTGGAAAAAAGCCAGAAGTATATACTATTAATAAAAGCATGATAAAATATAAAAACTAGAATCAAAGTGCTCACATTCTATTTAATTCTTTTAACATACACTTGAAGCAGAAATTGTCTGTGACATCGCTGTACATGCACATTTGAGACTAATATAAAGCTATAGATTAACTATTCATTTATGAATAGCTCGTTTTTAAGTAAGTGTAATAATACAAGTTTCTAGAATAGAATTCTATATATATTACATATAGGTGCAATTGCTAAACAAAATCCTCAAACATGGCTGCAAATGAATATTTAGTTTGTCTTAAATAATGTGGTTCTGTAAATGGCAACTACAAAAAACTTGTGTGATAGTAATCTTTGTTGTTTTTTTTTTCCATTTTTGAAATTGATTAGCTTACTGGTACATTTCAAATCCTTCAAGATATTTTTTAGGTTTTCTATGTGATTGCTGTTACAAAATCATAAATTTGCGATGTGTTGTTATGTGAAATAAACTGAAAAATAATGAACACTTAAGTAGCAAATTTTGAAATAAAAAAATAGATTTTTGATCCAATTTGCTGATAATGTAAACATGTTTAGTTTAAAATACTAAATTTAGCTGAATTTATTGGTTTACTAAAACACACAAATAAAAAATAACAAAGATGTTGATGTTGTTTTAGTACAAAGCTGCATAAGTACCTTGTTTACTGCAAGGAACCAAAGCCCAGATTTTAGTAATGTAAATCTATAAACTTACTACTGATCCACTAGGCGAAACTCTTCTACGTTAGTATATACACATCAGAACCCTATTCTTTCTATTGAATATTTGAGTAGAATAATTTTTAGTAATACATAGTTTTGATGAAATTAAATACTGATGTATGAAAGCTACAAAATGACTTTTAAATCCTCAGACATAATGCATATTTAGAAAACAATGTAAATGTTCCCTCATGATCCTTTGTAGAAATGACTAAGTAGCAAAACTTTTAGTTTATACATTTATTACTAAGTTGGATCAGTTTTTTGATTTCTTCTCCTTACATAGAGCATATTGTTGAAAATTATAAATAATGGAGAAAGATATCAGTAACATGAACTGTAGCAGTCTCATCCCTGATATTTCTTAAGGCTGGCACAGTTGCAGCAATAATATCTTAGGAGTTATCAATCTATGTTTTTACAAGAATAATAAAAAACTCAATGTACTGTTCCAGCCATAGTCTCAGCAGTCAATGTACAAAAGTATTTATAATTGGAGCAAACTTAGTTTTGTACAAATAAGAAAAGCAATCTAGATCATTTTTTATTTTTACAGTGGCAACTTTCAGACATAATAATCACCTTTAAGATACTAATATGTTTTTTTTATTTAAAAAATCATGCACAAAATGGGTTAAAAATTAGGGATCCCTCTATTTCAGGTATAACCATTTTATGTTGAACTGCAGACCAGATAGAAGATAACCAGTTAGCAGCACCTGCTTCCTGAAGTGGCTACTCTTAACTGAATAGTGAGCTTCATTGTCACTCTTATAATACTCTTTCAAGTGAAAGTGTGAATTGTACTTTGCTTTGCATTGAACCCAATACCATGGGATCCTCCAGTCCAAAATGCAAGCTCTTCTATTAACTGTGGGATAACTTAGGACAGAGTATTTCTCTATGAATTTATAAATCAAATATTTTTGAAGAAAAACAAATATCTTTTTTTATTCCTCAATTTTAAAATGTCTTATTGGAAGTCTGTTCATTCCTAAAACTGTCATGAACTATTCACTGGAACCCTACCAGTGGGCTACTGATTGTCATACTTTTCATTCGCATTCAAAAATTAAAACTCTTTCCACACCTGGATCCATTTCTGTTACTATCTTATTTCCATGTAATAATGTAGAAATAGTTACATGGCTCTATTACAAACCTACTTCTGTATAATAATAATAATGTGGAAAGTAAATTAGTTCTAGTAGCAAACACCTGGAAAATGAATCTAGTTCTAGTTCTGTGTAACAATAATCACACTTCTAAAATGGAGGTGTGATAACCAAGAAAAATGGGATATCTTAGTTTAGGTATGAAACTAAATGTACAACAACAACAAAAAAAAAGAAATTATTACTCGCATTTAGTAGGAAACTGTGTTGTGCTAAAGAAAAATTCTCATTTTATTACAGGAAAAACTGATATAACTGATTACTAAGATATAGCAAAAAGCATACTGGTGGTACATAAAGGATGATAAAAAAAAAGTATTTTTAGTTGTAGTATGAAAAAAATTGCAATATATTATTTTCCATTAATGAAATGCATGATAGCAGTAATAAAAATGGATCTGTCAGTTCTACCAGTTTTATAATGATTTTAATAAAATATACCTATCAATTGTAATGGAAGGCTATGAGATGATACTGAAAATTTAATCTGATAGTTCTACAAGAAACTGTGCAATGATAATGAAAAACTAAATCTGTCACTTCTACAAGAATTTGTACAATGATTTTAACACATCTCTCAGGAGCCAAGGGGTGTCTTTACACTACAATTGTTGAATATTAAAAACAAGTTCAATCCGGAAACTCCCAAAGAGGGTGGTTTTGGACATATCTTTTCAAAATAAATTTTCGTTTGTTAACAGATAAATTTTTAAGTGAAATACAGCATTCTCAAGTCTCCATACTATCTAGTACTAAGGCTTACCTGCTGGAAGTAAATTCAGTATATATCAATAAAGCCACATTCTCAGCATCATTAATTAAGCAATTGCCAACCTTTTATGCTTCTTCTATCACCTTTTTATGTTTAGCTTTCAATTGAAATACAAACGATTGCACCTGCAATGCGGTAGGGAAGGTCAAAGCATCACAATAGTCAGCGGTAGGATGAGCAGACAAAAATACTTTGAAAGCAGCTACAGGCATAATATTGTACTTGGCTTGTTGCACAATATCTACCAAGGTGGTTCTTAGCAGTTCCTGAATACGTGTGTGTGTCATTTGGAGACTTCCATGCTATTTGTGTTTGGCTATTAAGCTCGTGATGCACTGGAAGATTTCAGTCACCATACCACTTGAAATCACTTTTTGCAGCCCCAATGCTAAATTAGTGCAGGAAATGCCTTCTTTTTAGCCAATAAAAATTTCCAAAAAATTTCAGTTCAAATTAATAAAAACCGGATTGGGTAGGGTTTTTTTTTTCAACAAAAATGTCCCCCACTGACTCGTGAGGGGTCTGTTACAAAAACAGATGTGTCACTTCTATTAGAATTTGTACAATGAACCTAAGAAATAGATCTGTCACTTCTAATAAAAAACTGTGTTTCACTGTATTATCCTTATTACAGGATAGTTATATCATACCAAATACCTTAAAACTGAAAAAGATGGTCTTTTTCTGGTTTGTGTGTATCATAATTTTTACAATACCTGACAAATACTTTTGGTTAATGAGTACTATGGAACTGTCATGTTGATGTATATTTTAGTCATAACTAATTTATTTTTAACTAAAATTATAGTGTACTTACTTTCAGATATATTAATAACTATACTGAAAATAAGATTTCTCATATTTTATATGAAGCTGTGTTTCTACTGAAAAGTCTTAGTTCTATTACAAAAGTATCTTACATTATCAAATACCAAATGATTAGCATAGGTTGAAAATAATAATAAAAGAAATAAGCCTTATCGTGGATATCGCATGACATCAGAATACAATTTTAAGTTAATTATCTTATCTACACACAAAACACACTAATAAGTTACATTCTGAACTACAACCTAGCTCTGTAAGTTGAAATTTAAACAGTGGTACAACTAAATGCCATGGGTATATAGAGCAAAATTCCATGCAAGCACTTAACCACTGTTGTCAACTATTGTGGGGTTAAGAGTTTTGGGTCCCCATGGACATAATCAAGGCAGTATAACAGGTAGTTACACCAGTGAGTTTATATAATAACAGTAAGTCGGTCTACCATGCTAACTTAACAATTATAAGAACTGAATATTCAAAATTACTGGTATCTTTGAATAAAATAACTAATTATTTAGCTATAATTTTATTTGTGTGACTATAAAATTCATATAAATAATAAAATGCCCTCTAAGAAATACTGATGTTTCACTCGAAATTGGCAATTCTACACACAGGTGCCACAGGTGGGGGAAGGGGAGGTCTTTAACCTTCTTTATTTATGTCATAAATTCCCATATTAACAAACGTTATTTAAATTAAATGCATCTATACGTTTATAATTCATACCATTCCTTATTATGCCTATCATAAATATAAAATCTACATCCAAATGTAAAATGTCAGCACAATCATAATCCACACCACCATTCATATTATGTTGACAAATACCCAACACCATTATAAATAACCTAACTTCAAATAGAACAACACCTAAAGATAAAAAAACAAAAAACAAGGCATTAATATCATACCATGCCAATCATGTATGAAAGTTTATAAAGGTAAAAATGGTTTGTTTATATTTAAGCTACACAATGGGCTATCTGTTCTGTGCCCACCACAGGTATTAAAACGTAATTCTTAACATTATAAGGCTGTAGACTTACTGCTGAGCCACTTGGGGGTAGGTGAAAAATGGAAGAAGTGTTAACACGAGTTTCTGAGCATAAGACACACTAAACATAGAAACATAAACAATGCCATTTATGTTCAAATAAGGTAACTTTTGATGATGACTCTTTTTATGTAGTTATCCTTTTTGTGTTAAATTCTTGTTGGTTTTCAATCTTTTTGATGGTCAG